ACCGAGTACGAAAATCAAGTCCATTTTCTTTCGGTGGGGGTACCTAGTACCTTTTTCACCTCAATTGGAGTTAAATGTACCCCTTTGCCCCCCCCCTAAAACGCTTCTCAAAGACTTTCATCATCATCGATGAGAAGTGCAGTGAAAAAAAAATGTACCACTCCCTTTAAAACGACGCAATTTGTGTACGGCCTTTAAGTGTGGAATAAACTAGGGACATAAAAATGACGCGCAAGCGCGCGATTAAAAAATAACAGACTGTCATCCGTCGTCGCTCGCGCGATGAAAAGTGATTGACGAGAATGCCATTCATAAAACGAGTGGGAAGTTGTCGTCGTCTACTTTCCGAAACACGCGGGGCGCGCGGGAGCGCTGCGCTCCAGGGTTTTATTATTTTGATTTTGCGAAAAGGAAACAGGCCGTGCATACAGTATGATACTTTGAGCTCCGCGGACGTACGTCGCGAGCCCACCACCGCGTATAATAATGGGCACGTTTGCTATACTTTTTCTCTTTCTTTTGCATGCGATCTCTCGGCCAGCAATCTTCCAGGAAAATAAGAATGAATCGGTACGCGCCGTGCGCGCGACAAGCCCTCTCGTGTGCGGTCACTCGGGTTGGGCCCGACTGGCCCGGCCGCCACGCTCCGCCGCGGCCAGACGGTCGCACGCGCCCATTATTTTTCTCAAGAAGAAAACAAAGATGCAAATTAATTGCTAACCAGGGTTGGAAGTTTCCAAAATTTTGCGGAAAATTTACAAAAAATCCCGAAAATTTCGCGAAAATAAGGGAAAACTTTCAAAGTCTGGGAAAATTTTCACTACCCCACCTAAATTTTCCATTTTTTTCCTGAAATTTTCCGGTAACTTTCTAGCGCTTCCAACCCTTAATGCTTCAACAGTTTTAAGAAATTTTTAATTTTTCGGGGTTGTTGTTGGTGGTGGAGGTGGAGGTGGGAGCGGTTGATTTTGACAGGTGCGAAAGAAAGGCTACATATCACTGCGGATACGCTTATAGTCCCTCTTCTTTCCCCCAGTAGGACGCCGAGCACCCCTTCCGGCCCGCGCCGCCCCCGGAGGTACCCGGCTCCGTCCGCCCGGCTCGCGCTGGGTCACGTCGCACTCCTACAGACGCCGCTGCGCGCAGCGCCGCGCACCCGCGCGGCTCACGTTGCAGAATTAAGAAGGGGGATATTTCTTGGCTGCTTTCGCGTTGATATTCACTCATCCCCACCGTAATTACGGTAGAGCATTGCGCGCGCCCGAGCCGATGTGTTCCGCGGCGGGGGCCGGCGGCCGCGACGGGAGGAGGGGGGAGCTGGAGCAGGAGCAGAGGAGGAGGAGGAGGAGGAGCAGCAGGAGGAGGAGGTTGCGGTGGACACGGCACCGCTGCTGCACGGAGCAATGCGCCGGCCGCACGGCCCGGCCCGGCCCGGCCCGGCCCGGCGAGCACAGGCGAGGCGGGATTGATGCATTTTTGCAATAATGCTATGGCATTTAGTGGGAAGCGCGCGCTGCGGCCCCGCGCCGCTCTGCGGCTCGCGCGCATGATTCCTGCCCGGCCGATGACAGTTGCGTGTGCGAGCTATTGCCCGCCCGGCCGTGTGTGCGAGTGTGCACATGAGAGGCTCGAGCAGGGACGACGACGTCTCGTATACAAACGCGTAAACGTCGCGAGTTATGTGCCCACGCTGGGCCGTTGGGGAGGAGGAGAGGGGGAGGGCGTCCAGGGGCAGTAGGCACTTGGGGGTGTGCCGTATAGGGACCACCACCAGTGCGACAAGGACACCGGACGAGACACCGGACACCGTAATGCGAGTCTGTGTGTGTGAGAAACGCTGGTTCAGTTCTAGTCTAGACCAATGGGGACTCCACCAAAAAAATCAGTGCGCACCCTAAAATGAGGAAAAATCATGGAAAAAACTAAGAAAATCAAGAAAAATTTGGCGTACGCTGGACGCTTGTATTCATAGTAAAGGACCCCCCGCTCGAGGCCCGCGGCAGCTACGCCGCTGCCGGCAGGGGTGGCCGGGCCGGGCGGCGGGCCCGACCTGCTGGGGCGCCCGGTCAGCGCATACAAATTGGCGCATTATTTTAATAGGGGCGCAGTGGCTTGCGCGACCCTGCCGGCCCGGGCAGTCCACTAACTGCTGCTGCTGCTGGTTGATAAGTTGTGCACTCAGGGAGCTTGGCGCGTGGCCCCCTTGAGGTGGGAGGTGGGGGGAGGGGGTACCTGCCCACGCGCCACGCGCAGGGACGGGCGGGACGAGACGAGGCATAAAATGCATTCCGCTCACCATGATGGATGGTCCATGTTCGCAATCCCTTCCGACAACTTTGGCCAAAGTCATACTTTCTTGCCTCTCGGAGCGGCCGGTGCTGCCCCCCTCCCCCACCCCCTCAGGATAATGCGATAGCTCCTCGGGGAGCTTCATGGGCACACCACGACGCGGCAGACTTTGTGCAGCTAAAAGCCGTCGAGCATCTCCAACCCTCTCCTCAACACTTACCTTCGACGAGGGATGTCAGCAGGGTGACGTTCGCAGCCTTTCTCCGACCAGCGGGAAGGTTGAGGCCGATCTTGTCCAGCCTCTCTCGGAGTAACCTGCCTCCATTCTTGGACTTGGCTCTGCAACAACGAAAGAGAGAAATAGGGGTGGTGAGACAAGTGGGAGAGAGAGAGGGAGAGGGGCGAGGTGAGGTAAGAAGGTTAGTGCGGGTGGGCGCGGCGGGCGGAGGGGAGCCGTCGGCAAAGTGCAAAACCGTTTGGGGCGGGGAAGGGGGTGTAATGGTGGGGCATAAGGCAACAAGACAATAAGGTAAACGCATGCATCCGCAGCGGCCGGGGCCAGCAGACCAGCCAGCAGACCGCAGCGAGCGAAGCCGATCGCCTTTTGCTGCCCGCAATCTCGCGCGATCAAAACCGTCCGCCTTGGCTATACACACACACGAAACCACATGCACACACGAGTGTGCTTTTTTTTTCGAAACAAAAATAAAGAAAATTGAATAAAAATGAAAATGTAATATTCGAGTAGCATTGGCACGATTCGTTTAGTAGTACGTACGTTGTTTGTTGCGTTTCAGAGGGGAACGTGGAGGGAAGTCCCTTGGGACCCTACACCGAAAACTCGAGTGTGTAAATATCGCACACTTGTAACGTGTGTGAACACTTTTCGTACACAATAAGGAACAAGGCGTATATACATTTCACAGGAAAATGAACACCTTTACTCCATTAAGTGTACGAATGGGTATGTTCACACACTTACAAATGTGTTACATTCACACACCTGCAAGTGTTGCGACATTCACACACTTGAATAGTTTTCAGTGTAGTTCCCGCGGAAGGGCGGTGGTGGAAAGACGTCGCCTCTGCCGCGCTGGTAGGGCTGCGCTAGGTCCATGGCTAGGCTCGGCTAGTGGAGCAGTGATCACAGGGAGCGTGCCAGCGTGCCCGGGCGCTCGCGGTACCAATTACCCCGCCGAGCTGCTCCTCCGCGAGGGGCACGACGGGCACGTGCTCGCGCCGGGGATCGAACCGCCGCCCGCTCCACCCGCTCCGCCTGCTTCGACCGTCCGCCACCGGCTCCGGGTGTGAGTCACAGTGAGTGAGGTGAGTGCAGAACGCGGAGCAGGGGCGCGGCGGCGGGGCGGGCGCGCGGGGTCTCTCGCGTGTACCGTGGGAACGGAGTGAATGTGTGTGAGGGGCATCTCCGTGCGAGACGCGTCCGCGTTGAAGGGAGGGAAGGTGGGGGGGCTCTGGAGAGTCACTAACCCCCACCACCCCTTCGCATCGCTTTTCGCGCGCCTTCTCGCTCGGGGGCCCTCGGGGCGCCGCGTCGTCCCCTCCTCAGCTGGCCGGCCGTGAGGTGGACGTGTACGTGTCCGCGTGCTTGAGGTGTGAGGTAGCGCCGTATGGGTGGGAGGTCGTCCGATAAGAGCGGGAAAAGTATGACGAATCGAAATTGAACCCACGATCGGATGGACGAGAAAAAATAAACCGGGTAATTTCGGGGTATTAGGAATGGCTGGGTGACCGTGCTGCATTTATTTGCACTATGCCCTACATGTTTGGAGGAAAACAGATGTGTGCGCTTACCTGCGGAGGACGCCGCCGAGCAGGGACGCGTTGAGGCACTCTGGCGGGGACAGCCGCCGCTGGACCTCGCCGACGGTGACCTTGTACTTGGAGGTGGACGAGAGCAGCGACAGGCGGCCGGGCACCGAGCAGAAGACATCCCCTGCGGAGTTGCCGCCAGACATGAGCGTCCCCTTCTCGTCGTGCAGTCTGGGTTTGAGGCCTGACAACACGAGGCGGAGGGCCGTCAGAGCCAGTGCAGCCAGCAAAAAAATAGAAAGAAAAAGGCGCCCGTCTCTAATTCAGTGGAATGCGTGAGAGGAAGCAAGTTGTTTGGACTTGAATATCTCAGGCGTTTCTGACTTATAGTGTGCGCGTTTTAACTCTGATTTTCTTTTTACTGCTTGCATTGACTCTTTTCTTTTCTCATATAACATAACATAGCAAGAACGACAAGAAGAACGTGCCAATGCTATAGTATATTTGCCAGTTACTTCCCACCCACCCCCTCCCAAACCTAAAATACCTTGAACTACCACCACCTC